ATGCTGTCCACATAAGTGTGTGATTCTGACTTCTAAGGATTTGGCCTGCTTGGCACTTCTTTATGTTTGTCATTTTTTTGTTGTGTGCTTGACATTTATGCATGTCATATGCTTGACATTTCTCATATACCTTTTACATATTTTGCTTGTTTGACATTTCTTGTATGCTCGACTCTATTCGGCCTCTTAAAACTTAGGAAGTTTTTCTAGGATATTTTTTTATTTATATATTTTTTGTAATCTTTTGGATAGAAAAACTTATGCATATTTACATTTAAAAATGTACATATTTACAATTAGATATGAATGGTGTCCTCAGGCTTTTTGCACACTTTTGCTTCTCTTTATTATTTTACCTTTACTGTGTTATTTTCATGTGATAGTTTCTTTGTGATAAACATTGGTATTGGTTGATAACTCAGATCTTTGGAAAAATCATCCATCATTTTTTATATGTCACAGTCTGACACAAGTCTTACACTACCTTTCTCATTCGTTCAATCGAATTGTCACCTCGGTCGGATAACTAACGAGACTTATTGCTGAGATAATTTATGTGACCTTCGCGAAGCTTGTCGCTACTAGACAAGAAACCATGTATAGGGCTTTATTCATGTTAAACTTTGAGATAAGTTTTTTGATGCTTGGTGTTGAGAGTTGGATTGTGTGTTAGGGCTTCGGCCAAACTTCTATGGCATGATTTTCGTTCATCTTTATTATTTTCCATCAATTAAACATATATGCAGTCGTTGTCTATTTATTTTATGATATTAATGTCAGTTAATATCTTATACTTTTCCAGGTCTTAGTTATTTGGTCAGATTGTCACCTCAGTGGGTTGCACCATTCGCCAGGACGTAGGCGGATCTTGTAGTTGCCTTCGCGAGGTGACCATCAAGACTCATTGTTGTTGTGATTTGCGTTGTACACTTTTCAAATCCTATCACTATAAGAAAGGGAACCACCTGAGTTTTATTAAATTCAATTTTGGAGAATCGGGTTTAATGATGTGGGAGAGCGTTGTGGGTTATTCAGCCAATCGGACTTCTTCAGGTTCATTGTCAGCATTGCTGCTTGGATTCGAATTTCCCGAGTGTCAAATAACCTAGAACGACATTAAAAAGAATTGTATATCAGAGCACAAAAATAAGTTTTGAAATGATACTTCTTTCGTTCACTGAGCTCGGATTAAGCCATCCAAGTAGAGTCGACCGAGCATTGTCAAATATTGTGGGTCAACCTAATCTAATAGAGTGTTCTGATCCTTGGGAATCAGTCGTTTGTTTCAGGGGTTTGGCTTTTGCCTCCGACCAAAACCTCTTGGAAGAAGACAAAACGGGTTTGTCGGCTCTTGATTTTGTTGCTCCATGAACTCGTTGGCGTTCTTTCTATTAAAAGTGTCTCAGCATGTATTTTTTTCTCTTTAGTGTCGCTCCCCTTCTTATTGGTAGTATGTTCCATACTCATTACACTTTTTAAGATGTTGAATCTAGATATATCGTGTGAGGCATGCCCAAGGATCGAGCAGTAGAGAGATAGAGAAATATAGAGAGGGAGAGAGAAGGAGAGAGTACACAGCAACTTGCCTCTTTGGGGCAAACTGGAGTATTCCAGGGTTCTGTGACCTATTTTATAGAATGGAAGTGGTGGTTACAAGAGAGAATAAGAGAAATTTTTATCTACAGAAGATGAGTCTAGAGAAAGGAGCTAAAAGCCCCAAAAACATGATATGATTCCCTTATTTATAAAAGATAGAGGAATAAAATTCAAAATTACATGATTTGCCCCTGGTTTAGAGGAGTTATACGTGATATTCTATTATTTTTGCATATCAAAGTTGTCACTCGGCAGGTTTGGTCAGTCGACTGACCTGGTCTCATTCACCTCTTGATTAGGGGACCAATCAACCTTTGAATAGAGCAACAATAAGCTCTTGAGTGTGATAGTCGGCCGGTTCTTGTATAGCCGTCGACTTTCCAGATTTTGGTAATCTTTGATAATTTCTTTTTAGAAGCTTTCAAGAGAGCCTTATGCTAATATTTTTAAGGTATTGGAGGTGGTATACCACTGTTCGGTCTTTTCTTTCAAAGGGATCAATGTGGATGTCTGTCTCTAGTTGGCTTTGAAGGCTCTTCGATTGTTTGATTGACATTCAATTAGTCAGCAACCCTTCGATCAACTGAGCTGGCTATCAGTCGGCTGGGTGACCTTCGGTAGGTCAAATTCATGAAACCTTATAGTTTTTCATCGGGGAGGATCCTCATTATATTTCATTTGATCTGATTCATTAGATTGCCTCGAGATTAATGATGACACATTTTTGGTGCACAATAACAAAAATAAAATCATAAATAATTTGTTTTACCCTTCAAGCTCCTTGAGAGAAGCATCCACAACAGAGAAAAAAAAAAACTGACATCCAAGTGATGTATTTCCTAATAAATATCGCCAATTTCTATTCAAATTTGAATCAAATAGTCTATGTTAACTCAAATTTAAAGCTTAGAACAGAACGAATCAAAACTGGGCCATTAAACCAAATCAAACGGTTCTTCTGATTTGATTGGATTTTTCACTGATTTTTATTGGTCCAAACCTAAACAAGACAACCAGAGAATGTTACTTTCGTGCTGTGTGAGATCTAAACTTACCCTACTTTAATTATTTGGTAGCATGTCCCCCCTTCGTATTAAATTAATATTTAATAAAGCGTCTTATTTTCATAAACTACATAATTACTTTTCTCACCAAATTTACGTTACATTGAGGACTATGTTGACATCCCAATCTTTTGCCATCATTTCTTTTATTTAATTAAATGATGTTATCAGGCCTACAACCATTTGGTAGCCAACTCCCAATAAATATGCTTCTGATGATATCATTCGTAAATTTAAAAATTAAGAAGAATCACATCCAAGTTGGTAGAAAGTAGTTATGAATGGTAGGAGTGTCAATTCGAGATAGCGGGTCGGGTTTGTCCCACCCAAATCAAATCTCAACCCAAGTTTGACCAGCCTTCAACCCGCCATCCCAAATCGGACTCATATAATCCATTTAACATAAGAAATAATAATTATTCGGGCAAATTTGGGTTGGCGGGTCGATTTCAATTCAATTTATGGTTGGCAGATCGATTTCAATTAAATTTAGAGTTGGCGTGCCATTTCGTGTCATTTTCAAGTTGGTGGGTCAATCCGAACGCAGCCCGAAAAGTTAAATGGGTTAGAATATTTAAAACAAGCCCAAACCGAAAATTAATTATGTTTTTTTATTATTCTATATAGTATTAAATATGTCTAGAAAATGAATATAAATATATTTATTGGCAATTTTCAATCAATTCTAATGAAAAATGAGAAAAAAAAAATCAAATTTTGAATCATTATTGTGACTCATATTCTTTTCACTTGAGAAATGTAAACGTATTTACATGTCTAACACCAAAATTTTAATCCTTACATGTCATCTTAGATTGTATTTCACTTTTAAAAAGTTAAAATGATAATATGTTTATATAAATGATTTGGATTGGTATAAATGTAAAAAGAAAGATTTGAGGGTTAAATATGTAAATAAAGTTCAAATGGCAATGTTCGAGATAATGAAGTTTGATGGAACCGGGATTTTCGTATTGTGAATTGTGGAAAACAAGAGTGATAGATTTGTTGGCACAACAAGGAATTTTGAAGGCATTGCGAGCTATGAAACCTGATGGTAATATTTATAAATTGTTGGGGAATACAATTGTAGGTGAAGTTCACTCTGTCGGATCATATGATGAAATGCAGTAGGAAAGTTGACCAAGCCATGTATTTTTCAACAAGTTCTTGCGTTACTTGAACTTGTTGAATGTTTGCAGTTGCTAGTTAGCATGGTTACCCAACCCACTTCGTTGCAAGAAACTTCATGATGTATTTCTCCTAAGGTGCTGGATATTCGCAATGTGGAGATTTTCTCCTAAAGAGTTGTATATTCGTCAAACTGAAGAATTGTTAGGTATGACTCATATACCAGGAATTTTGAGTATCTTGGATTTGAAGAGTTGTGTCTCCTGGAATGAAGATGTGTGTCTCTTAGTTTGAAGATGCGTGTCTCTTGGATTAGTGGGTTGAGGGGAGCGATGGCGTGTTTGTAAATTTATCTGTGGGTTTTATCTATAAATAGATGTGTAACCCTATGGGTATGTAACTCCTCTGAAATAGTGAATTCGTCGCTCTGCTTTTGAGGATATACGCATCTTTGTCGAACTTCGTTAAATCTTTGTGTTCTTCCGATTTTGTGTCGATTTTTGTTTTTTTTTCGCCTTAAATTACACAACACCCAATTCTTATTTATTTACCCATCTCACACCTAAACTTTCTTTTTTACGTATATAACACTAAGGAAAAAAAGATGAATTTGATTATTAAAAATTAATAATGAGTGTTAATTTTCATATGATATTTATAATTATACAAATTTAGGTGTGAGATAGTTAAATACCAGAGTTTTAGATATCATATATGTAAAAGTCCCAATATAAAAATACGACCTTTCTTTCATATATGAAGTTCATGAATCCAAAATTATTTAATAACCATTAATTAGGCTCACCATTAATCATGTTCAGCTCTCATTAAACTCAAATACAAAAACGCTGATTATGACATCAAAACATAATGTATATAAATGTCAAACTTTCACATGTTAATTACATAAACATATAAAAATTGTATCTTTTGTGTAAATTTTCCTAATATTTTTTTCTCTCCATAGTGTATCCTAACCGTCACCGAGATGTATCATCTGCAGGCAGCGGCAAGTAATAATTTTTCAAACCTGACACTTAACAAACTGAACCTTCCTTCATGTCAAGCTCGTTTACCAAGCAATCATGGTTGCTCCTGCGCGCCTACCCCCCAACTACTACACAGAAATTGACTCCTCACAAAGAGGGAGACGACTTCAGCTTTTTCTTGCTTCATCAAACCAAAAACTTAAGCTCGCTTTTTAAATAAACAAAGAGATCCTTGAGTGGAGGGAAGTATTTGGTTTGGCCAACGGCTAGTTCTCTCTTTCACTCACCCTTTGAACTCAAGCAAAGCTGTTAGATTTTTGGTCGCCATCTACCTTCCTTTCCCTTTAATTAATCCCACTTTATTTCTTCCATTCCGAATCAGATGTGAATCGTTAACAGCTAGGTCGCAGATCTCGGAAATGGCAATATCAAGTGATATGGATGATGGGGAAGCTCGAAGCCCGCCGGTCGGGTTCTTGTTGAGGATGGTGATGAGGGTGGCGAGAGCTAGGTGGTTTGGGTTCTTGAGGAGAGTGTTTCAGTACCAGAATGGTGCAAGATCTGATTTCAGATCCAATCCCTTTAATTCCAGGCCATGGCTTCTGCTAGAGTTTATTGCTCTGGCAGTGCAGATATTTTGCATCACAATTGTCATGGTTTTGTCCAAGAAGGAGAAGCCAGTTTGGCCTGTAAGGATTTGGATTGCTAGCTACAACATAGCCAATATTCTCAGCATACCATTTCTTTATATGCGATTTCGATTCTCCAACTCAAGCCAAGTTCATGGCTTGACCTCTGATTTGGAGCAGCAGAGAAGTTCAGATGAATCCAGGTGAGAAATTTGCTAAAATCTAGCTTTTTGTAAAAGACAGACTAATTAAAAAAAACAATTTTTTTTCTTTTGGGAGCAGGAGTTCTCATCTAATGAACAAGGGGAGGCCATACCTCGAGCTTTTCTACGCATTGTGGTTTGTGATGGGCAATGTCTGGGTGTTTGATTCGCGCTTGGGCTCGTTTAATCGAGCGCCGAAACTTCATCTCCTCTGCGTCGCGCTTCTTTCCTGGAATGCGATGATCTATTCTTTCCCTTTCCTTTTGTTTTTGCTGCTCTGCTGCATTGTGCCGCTTGTTAGAAATGTTCTTGGCTACAACATGAATTTGGCTTCGAGTGCACGAAGGGCCACGGATGATCAGATCTCCCGGCTCCCATGCTGGAGATTCAAAGAGGTTGAAGCTGAGGATGAGGCTGAAGTTGATAATTCAGTAAGTTTCAGCGCTGTTAATCGTTTCTAGCAGTGTTTTTATGAAACAATAATATAACTTTCTTTGAGTTTTAGAATGCGTGTTGTCTTTTTTTATCAAAATGAAGAAAAAGCTGACATCTTTATCGTCAAACATGTATGCAGGAGTGCTGTATTTGCCTTGCCAAATATATGGACAGAGAAGAGGTTAGGCAGCTGCCATGCTTGCATTTATTTCACCTGAGATGTGTTGATCAATGGCTAAAGATAACATCTTGTTGCCCTTTGTGCAAGAAAGAGCTTGAGAAATGATCAAAAACAGTATTTGTTGGGCACTTCATTGATTTGCATGATAATCCTTCTTCTTTTTTCTTCCTCTTGCACCTCTTTGTACATAAATCATAAGTTTTCAGTATACCACACAGCTTAAACTGTTGCTGTATCAGCAGTTTGAATGGATTAGAGAGTTGAATTTCAATTATTTATTTCAGAAGAAAATAATCTAAGTTTTTATTGCGAATTAATGTGTAGGACAAACGGAAGAAAATAATCTAAGTTTTTATTGCGAATTAATGCGTAGGACAAACCAATGATAGTCTTCTCATTTGGTGGATGCAAGTACTCCACTCCCCCGATTTGTGTCTTTCTATTTTTTTCAGTTATATTTTTGTATGTTTTTTGTGGGCCATAATTTTCCTTGCTTGTTTTCTTTTTTTTGCACAAAAACTTATTTTTTAGATAGAAGTTTCACGTAATTCCTGTATTTACAAATCTAACACCTAAACTTCAATTTTTACATGCATGCCACCTTATTTATGCATGAAAGATGTATTTTGCTTTTTAAAAATTAAAATAGTAGTATTTCTTATGTGATATGAAATATTTGAGTGGTATAATTGTAACAAGTAAGGTTTAGGTGTATATAACAATATATTACATATACTATTTATATAATAATATATTATATATATTTATGTCTAAGTTTAAATCATAACACCTCATGTTGCAATGTGGTTAGTATTTTCTTTCGTATATATTTGATTTAGATTCAAATCCCACATTTTACATCTATTTTTCTCAATTTAAGTTTAACGAGTCAATTTCGAGCCGAACACGAACACGAATATTTAAATCGAGCCGAACACGAACACACTGTTCACAAGCTGATTTTGAACACGAGCTATTTTGAACGAGCCGAACACGAGCCAAGCCAGAGCTCGGTCAAGCTCGGCTTGTTTACAGCCCTAGTGTTAGATATGTAAATTACGTAGGAATTAGGTGGTACCGTCAAGTATGATCAGCAGCACGAAATTTAATTATAGATTGAGCTTTATCAAATTTTATGATAATTTAAGCATTGTAAATGCATGCTAAAAAATAAGAAGAGACCGATGACATAAAAACCCTCTTAATATCTAAATTAACACTTTGGAAAATATCAAATAAAGTTTAAAAACAAACCATATATAAAGAATAGGTTGGAGCGTGAGATCCCCAATCCACCCTATTGTCGTGCACCTAAATATTCGAAGACCCCCGTCTTAAGGCAACAATCGCTAAAGGCGGGATTCGAACCTTAAATCATAGGGGACTTACGCCGCCGAAGCAGATGCTCTTCCAACTGACCTAGAAACGCGGCACATGTTTTATTGAAGACAAGAAAAAATAGGTGATTTCTATGCTACATTTAAAGGTTATAAGACCAAAATCTAAATGAGTGGATGATAAAGATTCATCTCCAAATTCATAATGAACAACACTTCTCCACATAAATTTGTATTTGCATCGATGGCTTTACGCTATCTTCAAACCAAAGATCACATCATTGGCTTTATGAATCTTCAAGTTAAAGATCACATTATTGATTGCAATCTACAACATAATTACACATTAAGTGAGTTTTAAATTATGACGTGACAAGTTAGCGAATAAAGCAACAACGGGAGCGCATCAAACGAAGACGTCCGAAACTCCCTCCCATCTGCCTTCCATCTTCTTCGTCTTCTTCACTCTCATGTTTGCATGCCTACAGAAAATGCAACGAAGGGATCTATGCTAACAAAGACTTTCAAAAATCTAATCTTTTTGTGCCTGCTGCGTCTCTCCCAATTGCACGCCCGCCTTCATGGCTTCGGTAAGGCATAGTAGCCCTCAACCAATTGTTGGGATGGAATCTTATATACTTATAGGGCTTCATTAATTATAAATCAAAATCACTCTCCAGAATAGGATTACAGAAATTCAAAATTAAAAAAAAAATTGAACAAAAGCAAGCCAAAATAATTCTAGAACCCAGGAATAAAAAAAAAAATGGAGTCATACCACCAAGAAATTTCCATGTGAAGAACAAAAAAATATAAATAAATACTCACTCAAATCTCTTCACTTCAATCAGTAGAATTTATATTACTTTGCTAAAAACTCTTCCTCTCAATCTCACAAGAAAAATTGCAAATTCTCCTCTTCGACCCTGCTCTATGTCACGAGAATCTTGTCGAAAAACCACATGCAAGGTTTTTTTTTTTTTTTTTTCTTTTGTGCCCTTCATCGATTGAAATTGAAAGTATACGGAACTTCTCAGGACAAACCATTTGGTGGTATGATCACACACAAATAAGACATTATTCTTAGAAAGAATGAATTGAAGGAGTGATCCACCACCCCATGGCTACACCTATTGTTGCTAGTTACGATGTCCGACATAGCTATGTCCATTTCAGGAGTGGCTATGCCAAGCACAGGCACAATCTTACGCATGTGTGCTACTTATGATTGTGGACTTTATGCGGTTGTCCCAAAACATAATAATCTCCCACTTGAAAATTAATAACACCTAACAGGTGTCCTCTTAATCTGTATCTTCATATGCACCTCTTCATAGTCACATTTTGAGGTGTGGCTCACCCCTCGTAACATTCATGCTTGCTTTCCAGCTAAAGGCAAGCATAGCCTCAATTTTTTGATAGTCACCACTATTGTCAATATATTCCAAGGATTATGAGCCGTGTGTGTCTTCCTTAAGAACAATTGTCCATCTTCTATGATAGAGCATATAAATTGATACCTCAGCTAAATGTGATTTATCTTAGCATGGAAAACATTGTTATTAGCAAAATGAATTACACTCATGCTGTTACTATGAAGCTTTCTAATTCTCTACTTCTTGCCCAATTATGTCTTAAAGTCATGTAAGCAAATCATCTTCTTTTTGCCACAGTGATAGCAATGTATTCAACTTCTATGATTAAAAGCACAGTGATATTTTATAGCCTAGAAACACAACTTACTGTTGTATTCGTAAAATTAAGGATATATTTTGTTGTACTCCTTCCATCCAAATCTCCTGCCATATATGAATCTACAAATCTTTGTAATTGTTCCTTGCACTTTCATAGCAAAATTTCCTATTCAAACACCTACAAATTCTCTTCACAACCTCCCAATGAAGTCTACCTACATTGCTTATATACTTGCTGACTACTTTCACTGTATGTGTAATATCTTGTCTGACATAAACCATAGCATACATCATACTTCCAACTGTCAAAGTATACAACATTATCCCCATTTATGCTTTCTCTATTTCAGGCTTAAGAAATAAATTTTTAGATAATTCTAAGTGACTATCAAAGGGGGTGCAAATTAACTTTCTCTTACTCATGTTGAACATCAGTAGGATCTTTTTAACATACTCTGTCTAGGATAACTTTTGAGTTCTTGCACTTTGTACATATCGATTCTCATACCAAGCATTTTTTTTTGTTAGACTTAGATCCTTCATCTCAAACTCACTTGAGAATTACTTCTTTAAGTCTCTAATTTTCTCTATATTTACTACTGCAATCTACATGTCATTCACATACAAAATGAGCAAGATATAATAAATATTAAAGTGTTTAATGAAGCAATAATGGATTGTCTGGCACTTCATGTACCTACTATCTAGTATTAACTTATTAAACCTCATGTATGATTGTCTCTGGGCCTTCTTTATCTCATAGAGGCTCTTCTATAACTGCAAATAAAATCCTCTTTTTTCGAAACACTTTAACCTTGTGATTGCACTATGTATAATTCCTCAAACAAATCTTCATGTAAGAAAGCTAAGTTTACATCCATCTGCTTTGGATTTAGATTTTACTCTATAATCAGACACTACAACTTTGACGATTGTCATCTTCACCATCGGAAAAAAGAATCTTAGTATATTCCCTTCCTTTTTTCTGTTGGAACTCCTTCACAACAAGCCTTGTCTAGTAACATTTGCTACTGTCTAGCTCCTCTTTCGGCCATACTTTTTTACAGTCTAGTAATTTCTTTGAATCTTAGGACTGATTTGAGTCCAATGACTACATCTCATCATCAATGGCAAGTTCCCACTCTCTTAAAGCTTCAACTTACATAGCCTCTTTAAAGTCCTTTGATTCACTATTATAGTTAGCAGCACATAGTGATAGTTTAATGAAGGAGAATACATGTGTACTGATCGTATCATTATGTTTGACCTCCTAACTTCAGTAGTAATTGATTAAGGAACTTCATGGGCTCCATCTAGTTGAGCACTTTTCTTTCTCTGCCCTCATGATCACCAATGTCTTCTATCTAATTTGGCTTGGACTCTTCGAAGGTAATAGATGAATTTTTTTTAGTTTTGCTCCAATCCTTGTATATCTCCATTTCATTGAAAGTAGCATACCTGCTCCTACTAATATTTTTGTTCTGATAGTCAAAAAGTTTGCACTCAAACTCATTTGAGCCTAATTCAATAAAGGTGCACTTAACATATTTCAAGTCAAGCTTACTACTTGATCATGCATCGACATGAAATATGTAAAGCACCCAAATAATTTTAAATGAGATAGATTTATCCCCTCGTCACTCTAGGATTCTTCAAGTAAGCCTTCTTTTAAAGGCATTGATGGACAACAATTAATCAGAAAAATAAAAATATTCACTGTTTTAGCTCAAAACTATTATGACAAGCCTACATGCAGCATCATACTGCTAACATGCTTTGGGATTGTTATATTCATGAGCTCTGCTACTTTAAAATACTATGAAGTTCTTGAGATAGTTAACTCGTGCCTGATCCCCACTGTAGCCTTAAGGCTTGTCTCATTTTCTACCATAGTCTTCCACTTCTTAAATGCTTAAAATGCTTCATATTTTTTTTATTTAAGAAGTAAACTCATATATTTCTGATGTGATTGTCAATAAATATGACAAAGTAGTAATAGACTGAAATGGAGTAGGATTCCATCCAAAAAAATGCACTTACTTTATTTTTTTGACTTCTCCATTGACCTACTTTTAAAGAAAGAAGCTTTCTTCTGCTTTCTCTTTTCACAATCGTCACTAAAATCTAAATCTATTGATTTCAAACACTGGATCTTACTCTTTGAAAGTAGGGTTTCATGCATTTCCTGCTCATACGACCAATCTTACGGAGTCATAGATTTGCATCCACCTTAGTTCAAGGCATATCAATAAAGTTTGTCATTTCATTTATCAGGTAACAAGTGCCTTCTTTTG